TAATAGTCTTGTACCAGTTATTGCTTCCTTACTTAGCTTTATCAGATTAACTGCCCAGCAATAACAAAAACATGGGTTATTAATTCTGTGTTCAGCAAAAATCCAAAACATAGCCCCATACCAGCCATTGTGAAGAAAGCTAGCTCTACCCCAGATAAAACTAGCACAAAGGTGCAAGGTCATCATACTCTTAATGTGTAGTATGTTTGTAAAAGATACTTTATGTATTTTATTTCATTATGTTGTCTCAAACTAAAGACCTGAGAAAAAACTGTGGATTTAAAAAAACACATAAAAACCTCAAACCAGAACAATAACCAAAAAAAAAAAAAACTACAACCTGCCTAAAACATACTATAGTAATGTAGAAAACATTCAGTGATGCTAGAAACAAAAGTAATTTTCATGGTAAAACAGAACTGTCATCCCCTTTTCAGTCCAAACTTGGATGTGCAACAAAAAAATCTCCCCAATAGTTCTCAGAACCCAAATAAAAAGTGGATGTTACTCTCTGAACTAAACAATCTTGCTGTTTTCAGTTTTTGAATATGTAAAAGCAACTTTTCCAAGGTACAAAAGACAATATAATGCAAGCCTGCAGCTACATTAGTAAAGTGCTACCTTTGCAGAACCACTAGCCTGCTCTGAAAGAGGTGTTATAAGGCATGACCCATATTTTGGTTTGCCTTTCAAAAGCCATCTTCCCTCTTTAGCTGGAGGTGATTGACTACATCCAGCCACAGGTTCTCACATTCCTTTGAAAGTTACCTAACTCCCAGAAACAGAGGGCAGTTTTCACTAGTTATACAAGCTATATCTATGTTGTTCTGTCTGCTTTAGCACTGTGCCAGTATTGTCAAGTGTGGACCACTGATTCAAGACTGCCTCAGCTCCAGTCTCTTCCCTCTCTGCTCATCAAGGATTACTATGAAATTTTTACTGAAAATTATAATTAAATATTTGTTTAAATATTATGTAGTTCTGCATCTTGTTAGAAGCAGCCTCTTTTGTTCTTATCTATGCAGTATGATATCAATGTTCCCATCCTGTGTCACACAAGCTGTGTATTTTACTTTTGCTCATCTTTTGTTCCCAGGTACAAACAAGACTTCAGACATTCATTTCTAGCCTGCAACAGAAAACAAGTGAGATTGAGATTTTAGCAGTAAGTATTTGGCAGAAGCCTGAACTAATTCCAAATTCTTAATTGCAGTGGATGATGCTGTTCCTGTCTGGAACAAACCACTGCCAATTGCCTCACTTTAGCAATAACCAAATGATCAAACTTCTGGTTAAATAAGACCCCCTGTTCTGTTTCTCTGATACTTGAAAAGTATCTCAAGTTTTGTGAGACAGCTGCATGGAATAAAATTTAACAAGCATTTAATTGTAAGCTCATAAGCTGTAATTACACCAACTATTGTGCTAGATGTAATAACTTGTTCCTGTTAGATCTGCACTTCCGTTTAAGCAAACGTAGCTCTTGTTTGTATATAGCTTTTAGACTTCACTGATCATGTCACAAAGGACTTCAAAATGATGTATGCTTTTCAGGAAACATAACTGCCCATTTGCCTGCACCTATGTCCAGCTTTCCATAATGGAACCTATAATTAATATTTTAAAAGGTTTTAATAATTTTAAACCAATTTCCCAGTTTTAGCAGCATGAGTGCTTCTCTGGAGATGAAAAATCTGACTCCCTTCAGTATTGCTCGTTGCTAGTTGGCAAAATGGTAACAGTGAATGGTTAAGTATTGATTTCCTGGTATTTTTACAGGTTGATCTGCCAAAAGCAACTGTGATACACTTCTTATCATTAGAGGTAAGCAATTAAGTATTGTCGTTAGAACTCTAACTGAACACAATAGGTGATAAACTCTATTGACAATGAAGTGTAAAATTCACCCATTCTAGATTTCTCTTTCAAGTTTGAATTAGATTTAAAACTTAGAAGTATTTTTTTACCCAGGGAGCTTGACTCGACGTTTTTGTGAAATGTCCAAGTTACACAAGACAACATTAGGAAGTCCTAATCCAAAGCTCTGAGTTTTTCCTCCAATAATAGTTATCTAAAATTAAATCTTAACTGCTCTTTTTCAGAAACCAATAAGCATTAATAATAGTTTCAACAAAGGGGTTCCTTGCAGCTCTTGATGAAGGAGAACCCAAAATAGAGGCAATTGTTTCGAGTACAGTAGCTGAAACATCCCTTAGTGAAGCCAGGATATAAAGAGGACATATATTACATTGACATCGTTAAGAACTCAAGAGCTGGTCAGTGGTACATGAGATAACAACACCAAAGACAACACCATGTTACTGGGAGAAGTGTTTCCTTCACAAAAGAGTATGAGACTAGCATAGTTCCTTGACAATTTTTTTTCTTAGCTTGATGGAGATAGACAAGCCTTTGATGCTACTGTGAGACAACTGATGTCACGATGGCCCAAGCAGAGATCTTCATATTTACAATCAATTTGTGATGAAATTTACAGTCTCAAAATGGAAAAGAGGTAAATTTGTTAATTCTTATGAGTACATAAACTAGATTTTTTTTTTTAATTTTTTCTGTATTCAAACTAGAACTTGTCTTCCACTTTCCTCTCTCTCTGAGGCAAAAAGGAATACTCAGAAAATGTGTGTAGTCCCTTCACAACTACAGAACTGGTCACTAACCCTCACTTACTGATAAAATGTAAATTTTTAATTTTTCCAAGTCTTTTCAAGAAGCTCTAGAATATATGACCACTTTTATCTTACTTGCTGCTGTGTTTATAAAAATGAATAGCAGACAACTATGTACAGTCAGGTATCCTGCTACACATAGTACCTATACCTCTATATATGTAAATAAATATATACATATGTAAAATGTAGACATCTACACTGCTAGATAAAAACCCTCTTTTCTGATGAGAGGGACTTGGCTTGTCTTTTAAAACTCATGAACACATTTAATTCCTCCTGCTTTGAAATAATATGGTGGCAGTCAGGCAGAGGTGGGAGAGTGCCCAGTATGCTCTCCCAACAAGTACAGTACAGCCCATTTCTTTTTGTAAGCATAAAAACATTTATGTTCAACTCATAGTCTGCCTGTTGGATTACAGCAAGGCTGATACAGATAGTCTGGACACATCCAGTATGTCCAGTTTTAAACCTCCAATTGTTAAATGTTGCATGTACTGGTCCACTTAAGACCTGGGTACTTATGCCTAATTATGGGTTTTATTTCATTTTCTTAAACCTTTGTTCCACTTGAAAGTACTACTTATTCTTTAAATAAGACTAAAACTTTGAGAAAAAGGAACCAGATGCACCAAAACTGTTCCAGGTCTGCTGTTGACTAAGACAGCTACGTTATCAAGTGAAGCATTTGTTTTCTTCAAGGGGCTTCCAAGGCGGTGAGCAACAGAACCCAAATAATACTCCATGCAATGCTGGGTATGAATGTAATAGTGCCTCACTATCTTCTATCCCATTTGGGGCCTGAGCACTACTTAGCCATAAGCCTTCAGATCACTGACGTGAAAACTGAACAGGCAAGATCAATGGAAAGAGGATAAGGGGAAAATTGCAGTCACAGACCAACAAACTAAAACTTACTGATTTTCTACTAAATCTTTGCTGCTATCTTATTCTGAGTATTTGTCACAGGAATTGCAGCATTCAAACCTGCCGTTTCAAAATACTAAAATTCCTTTTTCCTTCCCTCTGCAGGGTCTCTGCACTTATCCTGTACAGTTACCGAGATGAATACAAGGTTTTGTTTTAGTACTTAAAGCATCTTTTATGGGATGCTTCTACAAATGGACAACAGCATTTTGTAAAAAGGAATTTCAAAAAGCTGTAATAATGCAAGAAGGCAACTAGAGCCTCTTTCTGTGTCCAAATTGCATTTCATGTATAATATTGTCCTGGTTCTGGCCAGGACAAGGTTATTATTTGCTGTAGCTAGGAGGGAGCATGGCCAGGACCCAGAGGTTGAGCTGTACCACCTCCTACCACTGCTGGGGGCCTTCCAGGTGGGCAAAGCATGGCAGAGGGAGCAGTTGGGTCGTGTTGTTTCTGTGGATTCATTCACCTTTCCTGTACTCTCTGCCACTGGAATTGTTGCTGTTACTGTTTTCTTATCTCATTGCTGTTTCCAGTAAATTCTTACCTCAACCTGTGCTCTTGATCGTCTGTCCCTCCTGACTCTCCTCTCCAGCCACTGGCAAGGGGAGGGAGTAGTGGGTCGCACATGGATTCAACTGGAGCACTAAACTAGAGAATGACATTCCTAAACCATGACAAATACAAAACTAAATGCTTTCAAAATGTGAAAGTAGTTGTTTTATTGGCAATTCAGGAGCAAGTCTGACTAGAGCCATAGATAAGTATTGCCATGTAGTTCTTATGCTATAAAAATAAGCTGTACAGATGTAAAACTATTTTTTGTAATAGTTTCAGAATGCCTTTTATGCAACAATAGTACTGCAACAAAAATGTCAGTTCTGGAATTATGAAAAGAATTAATTACCTTGGAAGAAATTGTTTTAAACATTTTTGAATAGTTTTTGTGTAATAAAAACTGCTGAGCCTTATTGAAATACTCATTACAAGCCTTTTGTGTGTCCTTTTTAGTTGTGTTTTTTATTTAACCTACTTTATGTACAAAATATGGTAGATTTCAGGCCGAGTTGTTACAAGCCTGGCTGCCTGTGCTTGTCCTGTCTGTACTTTCGCATTTGAATCAAGCAGCAGCTTTTCTAAGATGAAGACCTGATAAAATAAAACACCTGTTCTAAAACTGCAGAACTTAAACCAAAGACTTTAAAGATAAACAGTAACCTGCATGTGCTTGAAGCACAACCAGAGTTTTGAACTAACTTTCTTTATCTGAGTTGTCAGATTAAGTTTGAAATTAAAGTCATAGTAATGATGCAAGTATTATAATTACCTTTTTGAAGCTAAACTGTAACACAACCCCATAGGAAAAATGAAGCTGAGAAACTATGATTTACAGGAGTCATAGTTAAGTATGTATTATATTTCACATCAAACACTGGACGAATATGCAGAAATGTTAATGATTTCTGGAAGTACACTGGTGTTTACCTTTCCTCCCCACTTGGTACCTCTTGTTTAAACAACTTACACCTCTTTTTCTAACACAAATGATTGCCATTTGCAGACTCATTGCATTAATATATATATACTTTTTCTACCCTTTCTTGTAGCAAAGAAGGTGACAAAACATGTAGAGGTTTGCAATGTAAACCACAAAACTTCTGAGAACTGTGAAAGTTCAACAGCAATGTCCAAAGCAGCAGACAATCCTAAAGGCATAGATAACTGTGCCTAGCAGTTCACCACAAGTCATATCAGCCATTACACCAAATCCATTTCTCATTATATTTAATAGGAGCAATTACATATTTACTTTTTACATCTGCTCATATGAAGAAAGGAAAATTCACATCCCTGAATATACTGAAGGATAATGTCTATTTTAAAAAAGTTTAGGTGACATGACCATTTTTAAGCTATTTCTGAAGGGAACATGATGCAGAGTTCTACCCTCCCCCCACCCTGAGCCCAGGTCAGAACAGCTAGATCAGCATGGAGTGAAAGCTCTGCAAGTGCTTAAGCACTGTGCTGGCTGCCTTGGGGATATCTGCACTGCATCATGTAGACATGACCCTCAGATTAAGACAGAAACAGGAAAGCAGCTGTTCCTGATAATATGTTGGCACCTGCTTTCCCTAGAATTACAGAGGCTCATCTATAAAACTGGGTATCTGTCACTGAGGCTCCTGGTACACGTCTCTTCACACAGTGCTACCCCCAAGACAGGGTTTACACTGGAGAGAACACAGCAGTCTAAGTACAAACCAGCTGAGTGTAAAGCTATTTCAATGTAATGCTGTACATACTCCTGCCGTACAACAACCCAAAGAAAGCACCTTCTGCTCTCAGTTTAAACAAAAGTACTGATCACATCCCAGTATCCTGCTGGAAGGAAAGCCAAAGACAAATGGTAACTCGAAAAGAAATGGACTTTGCTTTGAGCAAGGGTCAAGTCTATTATAGTGATGGTAGCACTGTCCCATCACTGTGTTGCTTTACTCTTCTTGGCCTTGCTTTTCTTGTCTTTCTTCTTCAAGCCATCCATGTTGGCTCTTAGCAAATTTGAATATGCCTGAAAGAACAATTAGAACCATTTAAAAGAACCCCAAATAGTTAAATGACAATAGGCAAGAAGTAACATTCTATGTATTACAAATGGCCAATTATCTGCCTTTTCCCAGAGAATCATGCTCTTACACCCTGCACAAAGAAAATACTGTTTCTAAACCAATGTACAAGGTTGGATAAAATAAAATGGGATTTTTTAAAAACATATTAAGATAATGTTAGTTTCTGTGGCAGTTCAGCAAGAAATCAACCTGTTCACAGCTGTCCAGTGCTTCCAACAGACCACTTCTACTACTTACAGAAAAGGAGGATAAAAGGCAAACAAAACTTACCATCTGGAATTTATTTACTTCCTTTGAGCTCACCTATAAAAGTAATACTGGAGGTTAACCATGAAAACTCTGGCTTCTATTACAGACCAAGTATCAGTACATGTTTACCTGCCAGTTACCATATGGTCTTTCTAGCATCAGTTGGATCAACTTATAACATTCAGTGGTCAATGTGCTGTACTGGTATGTCATAGGACTTCACTGACTTAGAAAACGGAAAACACTCCTTGATTAAGAAAACTCTCTACCGGCCATTCATCCCTAGGTCACATATGTTCACATGGAAAGAATGTGAGAAAGCATTCAAAGAAAGCTTTGATTCACTTGTTGGGCCATAAAAATGCTGCAGCTCAGATTCTCAGCTATTTCTCTTAAGTAACATTTTTCCTTGTGCCATATCACAGAGCAGAGCTAAAGTCAGCTAAAGCCTTTCCAAATCCCCCATTGAAAGTAAACACACATCAGGTTTTCAACTTTCAGTTAACATTTTCTCAAGTTTCACTTAAAATATGGAGCATTAAATCAAAAACACAGAGCCACTAACCTTTCTAACTTAAAATTGTCACTTACCACTGTGCTAATTTTCTTCTTTCCATCAGTTGCTCTCAGGAGACACTTATTGTCTGCTGGTTCAAAACTTTCTACATGGCCTTTGCGTGGAACTGGCTTTGTTCGACCATCATCTGTATTGAAAAAAAATTTTTATTCTTATTTCATTAAAGTCAACAGATGCCTTCTGATATGAGATGTTAAAAACTCATGAGCAGATCTGTAAAACACCTTGGAATTTTAGGCCAACTGAACTAAGACTGCTGCCAAATTGCTCTTACTCTAGAACATCAGAAAGAGCTGTTCTGTAAACTGTATCTGTCAAAAAAAATTAAGTAAATCTTCCCCTCTAATGCCCCGCCTGCTCGAGTAGCAGCATGCTTTAAATGCAGTCACCCTGCTGCCTCCTGACTCGATACAGTAATGCCAGCTAGCCAGGAACCAGAGGAACACGAACACACAAAAACAACATCAGAAGTCTCCTTCTACAGAAAACAAACAATTTTCATTTATTGTTTAACAATCAGTCCTAGTACTTCCTGCAGTTTGAAATACAGTCTTGCTCAAAGGTTATTAGTACTAATACTACTAGTACATTAGTCTGATAATTAATAGTTGTAGGACTAATAGTAATACCGGTACCATGGCTGCTCCAGCTGATGGGTTTGTCCCTAAGACTGCCCTTGTCTTCAGACACCCTGGATTGCAACTGCATCGCTCAAAATACCAGGTGACAACAGTCAGATTTATAGCAGCACCTCTTTAACCCAGTAACAGACTCAAAACTTACATTTCTTCAGCGTTATGAAAACGCTCCCGGAAGTCCTGCACTTTTGGAAGAGCCTCGTAAGCTCGGTCAGGAACTGCAAGAGAAAAGAGACGCGCCCGTGGCTGGGAGCCACCAGAGCTCCGAGCCCTTCTCCCCACGCAACGCCGGCCTGGCCCGGGCTCTCTCCCACCACCGAGGAAAAGCCAGCTCCAGGCTGAGCCTGCAGGACAGCAAGTCCCAGCCGGGGGACTGGTTTTGATTCCGAACACGAGCTCTGAGCCCACCGAAACTCCCGCAGCATCAGCTGAGAGAAAGCACGGGAACTGCCCGCTCCGCTCCCCTCCCCCGCAGCGGCTCCCACGCCGGCCCAAGGCCGGCGTGGGAGCCGCTGCGGGGAAGGAGAGCGGAGCGGGCAGTTCCCGGAGAATCTGTGTCGGGGCTTTGCGGGTCCCCCCCTCTCTCTGTCCCACCCTCCTTCCCTCCCCGGCTCGCCGCCGCCCCGCACCTGCTCGCTCTCCAGCAGCACCATCCTGCCCCGCTCCGGAAGGGCCGCCCGCGCAGGCGCAGTGCCGGGGCTGCGCCACGTCGGCGGCGCGGGGCGGGGAGGGACCGGGCGGGCTGAGGGCGGCGCCTGCAGCCCCCGCGTCCCTGCCCGGGCAGCGGGAGTGGCTCGCAAGCATCGCCCGTCCCCCTCAGTGAGGCGGGACTGGTGCTGAGCGCGGCTGTGGGTGAAGGGTGGGATTTGAGATTAAGCGAGCTGGGTTTGTGCAAAAACAGCACAGGGGAAGCTGCGCCTGGCAGGGCCGAGGGAGCGCTTCGCGCCCTGAACACTTGGAGCTCCTGAGGGTTCTGTGGTGGGGGTTTCTGTCAGGCCCGTGGCAGTCGGTGCTGGAGCACACAGCAGTTGATCTCGTGTATATCACTAGGAAAATAAATCTGTTTTTCCTCCGTGGACCTAACAAAGGTGGAAGATAATGCCTTACAGATTAAAAGTAAAAACTGCTCTCAGGCTGATCGGTGCTCGAGTCCCTGAGGAATTAACACTGTTCATTTAAGGGCTCTGATCCAGAAAGTTCTCGACAGAACTGCAGTTCTGGACAGAACTGCAATGCCTTCTTGCATTATTATTCTCATGGTGGGGGTGTTGTTCCGTATATGAAACAACACGTGATAATGACAAAGCCTAGTCACCGCAGAAGTCCTTTTAAAGTCCACAATTACTCGCGGTCCTTCTGCAGGTTCGGCGGGAGGCAGTAGAGGGTGCTGTGATTGCACACACAGAAATGAAGCTACCTAAAGAACAAGGAAACAAATGCCCAAGAAGCAGGTCATTGCAACGCGGCCATGGTTTATGAAAATCTACCAGGTTATTAACGTAACTCCACTATGTTAGAGGCAAGGGAAGTGTAGCGATCCAGCAGTACTTTTCCCACATCGTGGATGGAATCATCCTCTTGATGTTTTTGTATTTCTATTATTTGCAGTTGAGGAGGAAAGACTTCAGTAAAATAAATTCCATTGTTTCTCACGGCATTAAAAATCTCATAAAAAAGGAAGAATATGTGTTATTGAAGCCTCCTGAAAACAGGTATTCTAAGGGGATTCCATCAGTGCTGTAGTTGGAAGTACCGATAGGCCAAAGCCCCGTGGAAGTGTAGTAAGTGATGGTCCCTGCCCCTACCAGCTTGCAGTCAGTGGGCACAACAAGCGAACATGGGTGGATGCATAGAGTCAGTGCTGACATGCATTTCCTCTAACCCTGCCCGGTTGCTGGAGAAGTCATAACACACTCCCGACTACAGAGGTTGTTTTGTCAGAAATCAGAGTAGGGTTGTGTTTTCAAGAGAGCCCTGAACATGGTCAGTGTAAGAGTGTTGTAGGTTTTTATAGGCAACTTGTGAAAGAAGAGCAGAAATGGAAAAACTAAAACAATTGCAACATACTCCCCCTTGGAAACTACCATGGTCATAGGCACTGGAAGGCAGAAGTACATTTCCACTCATGCTTGCCAAAAGAGAAGATGGGTGGTCTTGTAGCTGAAACACAGGGACTACCACTGTCACCTGAATTCTGACTTTTGTCTTCACTAGAGAAGTCTTGTGTTGCCATGCCTAACTTCTGTGTGCCACAGCTCTTTATTATAAACTTGGAGAAACATTATATGTAGTTATTCTCTTAAACTTTTGACACAATAAAGACCATCAATGTCTGTGCAAAGGACACCACAGAGGTTTTTTTCCCTGAATCTCCCCTCTCTGTAAGGCGCTAGCTCTGTTGCTGGGGTGTGCCTACCTTTGGGACGCTGCGGCCGTAGCAGTGCCCATCTCAATGTAGCTGAGGTGTCAGTAGCAGTGTAGGTGCCACATCAGAGACAGTACAAAGATACAGGGCATCGACCTCTCCAGGTAGATTCCTTGCAGGAATCTCTGACACTAAAGCTCTGGTTCTGCTGTATGCTGGAAGAAGGGACAAAGAGTAAACTGCTGTGAAGAACTCCAGAGAGTTGCAAGAAGTTTATGTTTTTCAAATCTGTTGTTTTATCAGCAATTTTTTGGAACATATATTTGTCTCACTGCTAATAAAAGAAGTGGCTCCACTGAACTGCTGAATTTCTTTCCACAAGAAAGAAATAGGATTTTTTTTTTTTTTTTTTTTTTTGCATTTGTGTTAGCTTTTTTTTTCTTTCTTGAAGTTGTTTTTCAAGCCAGAATGTCACAATTTAATTGGGGGAGAAGCCTTAATCACAACTTGCAAACAAGGTGAAAATGGAACATTTTTAACGATTGCTTTCCAAAAAATAGATGGAACAGGGGAATGCTGACATTGCTTTACTTTTGCCAAAGGCTGCCAACACTCTGAGGGAATAAGCTATTCAGCTGGCGAAAAAGTGCTGAACAAACACTGAAGGAGCTAAAGGGATACTCCCAATCATGATATACTCGCTTTTCACTCTATCTCCTGCCCCAGTCTGATGTCTTTCCCCTCACCCCATGCCCTCACAGAAAAAAAAAAAAAAAAACACAAAAAAAAAAAAAAAAAAAAAAAAAAAAAAAAAAAAAAAAAAAAAAAAAAAAAAAAAAAAAAGAAAAAAAAAAAAAGAAAGAAAAAAAAGCAGGTTGGATTAAAACAGTAGCAAGAGGAATTGGTGGATTCTGAGAGTTGGCAGGGGTATTAGCATTTTGTAACCTGATCTGTCATGTGACCAGGGCCAGGCAATAAAAATAAGTCTCCTACCAGCCCTCCTGTTTGCTCAACTTTATTATATGGTGTCAGTGGAGAACTACTTTTTTTTTCTTTTTTTTTTTTTTCTTTTTTTGGCAAAAATTTAGCAAATGAAGCCACCTGAATCATTAAATCCTGAAGGAAATCTGGCAGAGAACTGGAGGAGGTTGTTGCTGCAGTTCCAAGTTTTCCTGGAAGCAAGCATGTACTGAAGAGAAAAGGAGAAGGTGAAATCTCTCCTAAATGCAGTGGGAGGGGCAGGAAACAGAAAAACAAACCTATTAGAAGTAAATTAAATTCTTGATCAACCTTAGTAGAGGTTGGCAAAGATCTATTCAAATTAGCCAGCAAAGATTACTACTAGTTATGGACTAGCAGACACACATATTCAGCTCTGCACACAACAGTGAGCAGAAATATAATAGCATACTGTAAATTACAGTTTGCTCACCACAGTGCTCAAGATGAGTTAATAACAGATAATGGCCCACAATTCACAAGTGGATCATTCTGGTAATTCTCTTTGACCTGTAAGTTCAGGAATACCACGTCAAAGTATAGCTATGTACAGGAAAAAGTCAGTGTTAGAGCAAAAGCCTAGTAACAGCCTCCCCCCCTTTACAAGTCCATCATTAGCACTGTAAAAACAGAGATGTACACCTCACTGCCTTGCTGGCCTCGCCAGATCTGAGATTAATAGGCAAAGGAAAAGCCTTTGAGAGCCAACCTTTTGAACAGAGGCTGTTTGGGCAGAAAGACTATCAAGCCTGGAATAGCTACCAAAACGTCCCTAAACCCTGTACTAGGGGAGTAGAGAAGAAAAATTTTAACAAGAGGAAGGATCACTTATTCTTTTTTTCTGGTATTAGTTGGATTTCCAACAAAGCAATCAGTTGGTTACATTTGTACAGGTGAACATCAGTCCTGATATTCGGTCTTAACCTTTTTTATAAATGGCCCTTGTGAAAAGAAATAAGGACATGCAAGGGGACAGTGATCAGAGACTTGTTGATCAAGGCAGATACAGAGGCACAAAGCAGTGTTATTTGCCTCATCAGCTGGTAACCCTGAGAAAGAAAAATATTCTAAATACCTTATAGATTCCAAGAGACAACTAAACGAGGCATTTTAGAAAGATCTTTCTGAGAGACCACATTATGCCACCAGAAATCTGCTGAGTGATAAGCTTCTCCTGGTGAGAAAGCCAACTTCCAAAGATAAGATCTCCCCAAGAAAAAAGGAACCAATCCTTAGGAACCAATGTCTTAGGAACCGATTCATTTACCCTAAGCTCTTCCCTAAGCATTTCTGTTCATTTTAGTGAATCCCTACTATTCTATTTATTGTCATGCCATATTTAGATGTAATGAGTTTCAAGACAGGTTAAGTGTAACCTGGAGTTCAACAGATGCTGGCTTTCGTTGCATAATAGCAATGTTAACAGTGATTTATATTTTGTGAGGGAGACCAGGAAATAGATATGGATTCGTTTCTTAAAACTCTAATTCACCACATTACTATTGTAATGCATATTGAAGCATATCCGAGTGAGGCACAAAAAGATTTTTTTGTTGTTGGAAGAGATCTACATGGTTTTGAAGTACCATCTAGATTTTAAAAAGCTTCCCTGTCAAGGAAGATAAGGGATGTATATTTACCATATTATTAACTGTCTCACACGTGCTTAAAGTGGTTTTGTGACAAGCCCCCATCCCACAAAAAATGGGGGTGAAAAGGCTGGAAGAAAAGCGCAGATGCAGAGCTGTTGATCTGTGCAGGTGCTGGTGTCATCTCTGCTCTCTAAGACCCTGGAATGGCATGTATGTATTGAGTCCATGAGTAATGCTGTAACACTCAACATACTTCTGGTAACAAGGAAATTAAAGAGCCAATTCCTTTATCTCCCAAAGTGTGAGGAAGGGCTGAGGGACAAGAAGCAACATATCATCATATGTGTTTAGTTTGAAGGACAGAGCAAGCAAAAGCCAGTCTCACATACCTCCATATCCAATGCAAAACACTGGAGGAAAATGGTCAGATAAAAAAGGAGAGAGATACAGTTTGAACATCCACCCTGTGTTTTGATTGGTCCCGGTAACTTTCAGCTGCGAGTAGAGCAGAGCAGAGTGTAAGAACAGCATGTTCTGAAGGACTGCACCTGCGAGGTGACACAGCTGAGATGTCCTGCTTGTCCCCTCCTCCTCCCGGTCCTCAGCCTGTGGCTGCTGCCACCACTGCTGAGAAGTGACACTGCACTGCACACACAGACATCAGCCAGAGACTGTGTGGCCATGGCTGCGGCACCGTGGGTTTGTGACATAAGTGCTCAGCATGGTTTCCGTGGGCCTTTGTAAGTCATCTGTGAACTCCAGAAGTGCAGGGTTAAGCCTGTACC